TTTTCTAGTTGCGCTGTAGACTACGCAGGTCCAGTTTATATAAAGGACGGAAAAACTCGCAATCGTAAGATAATAAAGGCTTACATCTGCGTATTTGTATGCATGACAAGCAAGGCAACTCATCTAGAGTTGGTGACAGAACTAACTACATCTATGTTTTTAAATGCCTTAAAACGATTCGTAGCAAGACGTGGCTTATGTAGTCATATTTACTCGGACAATGCCTCCAATTTTACGCGAGCAAATCGTGAGTTGTTAGAGTTTTATCACATAATTCAGAAAGACCAAATTCAAAATTATTTGCGCGATCAGAAAATTCAGTGGCATTACATTCCAGCACGTTCTCCAAACTTTGGAGGTCTCTGGGAGGCAGCTGTTAAAGCAGTCAAACATCACCTGAAACGCATTTTGAATAATATTCATTTAACTTATGAAGAGTTCTATACTCTCTTAACTCAAATCGAAGCGGTTCTGAATTCAAGACCCTTAACCCCTCTATCCAGTGATCCCGAAGACCTTGAGGCCTTGACTCCAGGCCACTTCATAATTGGGGAGCCGCTCAATTCAGTACCAGAACCTAATGTCGAAAATGAACGACTCACTCCCGTTGCGCGTTATCATCACCTTCTCCGAATGACTCAACACTTCTGGAAGAGATGGGAAAATGAATATTTGCATAACCTGCAGCAGAGGTCCAAATGGAAGTTCCAATCAAATGTCTCTTCCCTAATAGGATCATTAGTTCTTCTCAAGGAAGATAATACACCACCACAACAGTGGCCCAAGGGCAGTATAACAGCGATCCATCCAGGGCATGACAACATAGTGAGGGTAGTGAGTGTCAAGACACCTAGTGGTATAGTGAAACGTGCACTAGGGAGGGTTTGCGTGCTACCATTAAACTCAAATTAAGTACGTGGCTTCATCTCCTTTATTGAAAGGGAACCTTTCAAGGGGGGCGGCATGTTCCGCCACGCGCCATAAGGTTCCGTCCAACCCCCCTCTTCATTGTTTTGAGATACGGGACGAAAGCGAGGGTGTTGGTACATAAGCCCTATACACACACAGACAGAAGAGTTTAGGTTAGAGTAGTGTTAAGACACCTTGTGAGAACTTATTATAAGTCATTAAATAAGTGAAAAATCAAGCCAAGGGTTTCATTAACAAAATCAATCAGTGCCCCGTAATAATCCTGTCTGTCAGGGCAGGCAAAAAGAGATAATACCAGAAGGTGCTTCGTGCACAATCAAACAACGATTACGAGTACTCGTAGTACGAGGACGACTACGAAGACGAGGCCTAAAAAAAAGAAACAAGCATGTCTAAGTAGGTTTCCCGGTGGGGTAGAGATACAGTAAATTAGTGAAGAATATTTAAAGTTTTACCTTTGTTGTAGGGCGGCCTCGTGAATGGTACCTTATGTCGGGTTTTATGGGCACAAATCCAACCAACAACGGTTTGGATTCACCAGAACTAACAAAACAAATGTTTGCCCACGAAATGCAGCAAGATCCGCAAAAGCGATATTTATCGTAACGAGAACACACGCTGCTAAGTCGACAATTCTCTCGCGACCAAGAGCACAGGAGAAAGTAAGAAATGTCTGAGACCAAGAAAAATGGAAAGAAAAAGTCCGTTCGGCCGTATATCGACAGGGAACTTTATATTTACCTACCGACGATAATTTAATGAACAAATTGAAATATTTCTGGAAAAATACAAGTTAAACCATACCATAATATTTGTTTAAAATAGACAATACTTAAATACCCTAATTTAAAGTTTTCATTTGTGGATGAGGGATTGCAAATCCATTGTGGTTTATATGATTACTTTTTAATAGGGACTAATACGAATTTAAATAAAATAGTCAGAAAAAAATAAGCCCGTAACAATAATGATAATGATAATGATAATAAGAATAACCATAACAATAACAATAACACCAACACCAACACCAACATTAACAACAACAACAACAACAACAACACTAACACTAACACTAACACTAACACTAATACTAACACTAACACTAACAATAACAATAACAATAACAATAATAGTAATAATAATAATAATAATAATGATTTATTTTCCATTAAGACAGTATACATGTATAGGATTCGTCACACACTTAATCTAACATAAAAAAAATTAAAAAATTCAATTTAAAAATTTAAAAACTCCGACACACAAGTAAATATAGCTTTAACTTTCGTTTAAAAATATTTACAGACAAACAGTATTTAATATCGTTTGGTAAACGATTAAAACATTTTGGACCCAAGCAACAAGGAGCATTAAGGACTAGTTTTAGTTTGGCAAACGGCACTATAAGATCACCAGCATGTCTCGTGTTATAACTGTACTTATCTTTGTTAATGTTAATGCTTTTCTTATTTCTATATACATAAACACATAATTCGTATATAAACAAACAGGGAAGGGGTAAAATGTTTAATTCCTTAAAATATTGTCTACATGACTCTGTCTGAAATTTTTAACATGCAATGGATGATTCTTTTTTAGCAATAAAAACACTAACTGAATTGGTCGAATTGCCCCATAAACAAATTCTGTATCTAAGTTTTGAATCTACTTGGGCATAGTAAACGTGTACAAGCTGGGAAAGGTTCAGCACTGTTCGCAAATTTAAGAAAAGAATCTTCAGAGAATTCATTTTCGAAATAACTTTATCACAATGTAATTTAAAGTTCAGGAATTCATCCAAATAAATACCTAGAAAACGTACATCGTCATGTGCATTAGTCACAATTTTATTATTTACATTAATATGTAGATCTTCCATAGTTATTTGATAATTATGTATTCTTAAAATATCAGTCTTGTCCAAATTAAAAAACAAATCGATACTGTTAAAGTACTGTGAGACTGTGCCCACTGCCTCTGCGGTTCTACTACTCAATGCTTCTGAATCCCTTGACGATAAAACCATTGAAAAGTCGTCAGCATATCTTAGGACTGAATACTAAATCACTTAGACTTAGTGGGGTGTTGGCTTTGTGTTTGGATAAAAAAACGGCTAATACATGCCCCATAAGGCCATAAACTCGAGTCCATCCCTCTCTTAAAATTAGTAGCTAATAACGTGACATTAAAAGAGGAATACAAATTAGGATGCTTCGAGTTTAAGGATTCGCATTTCACCTCAGGAAAATAAGTCTTCATAACATCTGTCAGTTCGTCAGCTGTAGTATAGGGCTTGATTCGATAAACATGCAACTCCGCATAACTTGGTACCCCTACATTCGCCGATTCCTTGTTACTTCCAATAATGACCTGCCTCTTGCGTCTTCTTTTTACTACATCAGTCCACCGATCATCAATGCCCGTTGTTAGTGCTTCATTTTTAGCTAAATTAATATAGCTGTCTAATTTAACCTTGGCTTCAGCCTGGGCAACGGCGGATGATACATCCTGTCGTGAGATATTCTTTTTCTTACCATTCAAAATATTTGTTGCTATTCAGGTTCGACAGGCTATCTTACCTTCCTTTACATTAATAATACTTGAATTCGGAGCTTGTTTGTCACTTTTATCGAAATGTATGTTGATTGTAGTTAAAATTTCAATATGTTGATTAAGAAGTTTTATTTTACCTTGGAGTCCCTCAATTATTATATCTTTTTGTTTAATGATATAATTAAATATGTTTATATTAACTTTTTTTCTGAACCACCAATTTCATCCATAGCATCAAAAAATGCAGTATCACTTTCAGAAAAACCATCAGTAGATTTTCTACAGCAGTTGATGTTGTTGTCATCCAATATTTTTACATTACTCAATGTAGCACAACTGGTATGAAAATAACATCCGCAAATTATGCATTTCCTTCCGCTAACCAGCTTTGACTTGCATTTTTTACAAGATAAACCGCCAACTGAGTTACTAATCATATTGACGATAATATTAAGTACAAACACCCGCACTAAACGATATTTGTTTTTACTATTCTTATTTATCAGTTGACGGTTTTTATCAATACTATTCGGATTCCATTTAAACGATCAATATGCAAAACAAAGTCAATTTTGTTCTTAAAATTCACTGTAATCCAAATACGAATTTCTGCATGACACTCTGCACACTCTGATCTACATCACGGTCATAACGTTTCCAAAAACAATCACTTATTAATGCATATAATAACGAAGTTCAAAGAGACAAAGAAAACACCGTCCGTTCATTTAGAAGATGTTTAACTGTCCAACTTAACCTTTAAAAAACTTTCATTGCACATTGGCGCGGCCGTTTACCATATATATTTTTAACGACAGTGTCATTAACTAGATCCATTATAATTGTTTCTCTATGTAAAAAAATATTTGTCCATTTTACTAAGTATTTTTTAATAAACATGTACTATATTATTATTAGCTCTAGTATTTTCAACTCCATTTTAAAGGTATTCAAGTAATTCATCAAAATAAAAAAATTATTAATTTTATCAAATGCAGTCAAACAATCTTCTTCTCAAGTAAAATTTGGAAACAAAATGGTCTCTTTGTAGTAGCTATTCTTTACGGGATTAGTCTTTGCCAATGGTGATAATAGAACAGCAAGAATACAATACATGATATTTATCTGAATTATTGTATTACATATTTAACAGTTTTAATATATCAAATAAGTATGTACATATTTTTGTATTAAATCTATTTAGACATAACATTTTTAGTTCTTCTTTTTAATTTATTACTTGCTCTGTACTAGGTATTGCAATAGTCAGTGGCGGCGCGTGAACATTGATTGAATGTGTTCTGCTTAGGCAGTGGTGGGTAAAATGGTTTTAAAAATGTATTTAACATGAAAATACAAAATGTATGGCACAATTTTAATTTAAAATCCAAATTTGAAAATAAATATTTCAAATAAAATTTTATGCAAAATGTTCGTAAATTTATTAAATATAAAGTATATTTCAGACATTTTTAAAGACATTGTTAGCTTTAATTAATAGCAGTTTTTCAAAGATTTCATCCGTCATGGATCTTCTTTTTGGTCTCATTATCATACTTAAAACAATAAAAAACGGTATTAAACTGTGAAAAGGTATCGTGACAGAGGGTTAGGTATTTGGTGACATCATGACACTTCTAATTTCTAAACAATAATTTCATACCTGCATACGAAAAGAGCCTTTCGACTGGTGCCGATAAAGGTAACGGTATATTGTATTTTACGAATATTTTTTTATTTCAGGATGTGTTTTCGTTTTGTAAATATTGTAAGGCTTGCAGTTGACCACAATTATTTGAATTAGAAGTATCTGAACCCGACCCTGATTCATCATCAGAATCAAACATAAAAAAGGTGTCACTTAAATGTTGTGAATCTTTCTTGTTCCTTAATGGGATTTTTTTCCTTCAGCAAGCTTTTAATCTCATGAATAAATATATATTTCACTTGTGACTTATTTTCTTTAGGTATCCATCTTAGTTTGAAAAATGGATGTGCAACAGTTGCTATAATAGCATCATTTACGGAAGAAATAAGGTTTAAATAGTCACTGAATCTATTCTGTAAACTTTTACATAAAATGAAGACAGGACAGGAACATAATCTAAATTGTCTCTGTTGAAAGGACTGTAACATTTTTTTTAAACCAAACAGTTGCGGTAGGAGTTCACCAAAAAATGTATTTTTTTATCCTTGGAGTTTATCCAATGCTTCCGCAGATGGATGAACGATTTCAACATATTCTTCGAGAAATCTATTTCAGTCTCTTTAAACTTTGGTAATTGTAGTTCATTGCACAATGTTCCTAAACTTTCTAAGGTTTCTTTGATTGTTAGTAACAATATAGCTTTTTTCGCGACTGAATATTGAATATGGTACTGTCAGCTGATCATGGATTAGGCGATTGTTGGTGCCCTATGCACAACCAATGAGTTATCTCGTTAGGTACTCAGGTTATATTGCAATTATTGCATCCATTCTATTTCAAATATAAAATGGAAAATACTTTTTTCTAAAGTATTTAAGATAGAAAATAGAAATGCCATTTTGTATTTTGCTTAGCTATTTCAAATAATTCAATTTCAAATAGTTACTCACCTCTGTGCTTAGGGTTGTTACATTTGTTGAATTGAATTCCGGGATATTAAGTGCCCGGAGTCTCTAAATGGCGCCGCAGGCGAAAAATTTTAAAATTTTCAAGGTCACGCGCTTTCCTGGCATTTCTGAATTTCAAGGAACAATGCATTTATAAAAAAACATAGATTTTCACAAGAATGATTTTTGAAATTGATACCTTTTTGAAATATCTATTCACGAATTACCTACTGACGGTATAAATAAATTGGAATAAACTAAATATATTTTATAAAATTTATTGAATATTGTTTATAAACAAAAAAATCGTTTGTGAAATTTACCAACGATTCAACGAATTTTAATTTTCCTTGCCGTGTTATTTTTTCTTTATCTTTTTTTATATATATGTGCATTATATTATATTCCAGGAGTTATACGTGCAAATCCGAAATCCGGGACCATACAGCTAATTCCCGGTACAATCACAGAAAATCCCGGTCATACCCATGTAGCAAGATGTTCTTTTAATATATCGTCGAAATCTGCACTAAAATTTATGAGTCCACGAAACACATAAGGGTTGTCCGAATTTTCTGTCTCGTCGTGTTCCCGAAGTGCTAATTCGAAAACTTCGCAAAATTTTATGTAATCTATGATTTTAGATTAACGATTTTTGGTTACCTGTTCTTTGTGATTCCGCATATTATCCCAATATGCAGAATCTAACTGACTTCTTATGTTTATTTTACCTAAAGACTTAATGTAATCTTTCACACTGTATATTGTCCATGCTTTATCCCCACCGAAAAGTAAGCACGGAAAACAAAACAGTGTATTTTTTAAATCACACCCGCACACCCACTCTGCTTTTGTGTATATATTATTGTTAAATTGTCCTTTATAACTTTTACTTCGGCTTGTTCCACCAACTTCAAAATTTAATTGTGGTGTTGGCCCACCTAATTCTTTTATTTTTAGTTTATCCTCATAAGGCAGAGAAACAAATAGTTTTTTTTTAAACGAAACGCTATTAATTTTAATAATTATAATATCCGTAGACGCCTAAACGAAAATATTCACACATGCCGTTCGCAGAAATAAACCACCACATATCACGTACGAAATATTACTGCATTTACTGCAGCAGTGGCTGGCGCTGTTGCAGCCACAAAAGCCCCTATCTTCGTGTACTGGGTCACGTGCCTGATTAGCCAATAAAAGCAAAGGACGCGTCTAATTGTTCGCTGTGCACACATTTTGTATATGAAGTTGCATATATTAAGGAGCGTAGCTCGCGTCACAGATAATAATATAAGCTCCTAGATTTATTTTAGCGCGAGTACATTTAGATTCTTTAAATATTTTGTTGATATTTAATATGATAAAATACATAAAATTTTATGTGTTCTGCAGTTCCGCAGCTCTTATGGTAAAACCGCCACTGGCAATAGTACAATTCAATGCTAGTTGGAGCATGTAGGCCACAAAGTAGTTGTTTGCCGCAATGCCAGATGTTAGGACTGTTGTCTGAGATTAGATATATTTTTAGTTTTTAGTTTAATATTGTCAAAATAGAGAAAAAATGCGAGAGCGACAGCTAATAAAATATATATTTTTAAAAGTAAAATGACAAATATTTTATTATTTAGGGTGTTATAAATTAGTAGGTCAAACCGTTAACCACATATTTTTTGTACTAAAATAATGGGACTTTTCTTGTGCCATTTTACATCTTGGAAATTTATTTTCAAAACACAGGGTGTCAAAATAAAAATTTTAATGGATAGCTCCGGTGATTTTAGAGATATTTGTTTGAAATTTGATACATATTTTTATCTTAAGTTTCACACTTTTTGTGGACTAAAATATGAAAGCACGAACGGAGGAAAGGGAGGTTGTAGTACCCATGGACCCTCTCAATTTTTTTGTAGTACGCCTATGGTTTCAGAATATTTTTTTAGATAAAGTGTTCTTTTATTCATTCATACTCCATAAATGGGGTATGAAGGGAACCCGTTATTGTTCACAAATTCCTTTTTTTTTTTTATAGACACATATATTTTCCTGAATGTTTCTTTTATTATATTTTTGTCAGATAATGTCAATTGTTCGACAAAAAATATTTTCTATTTTATACTGAAAGGTAAAAATTAAAAACAATATACCTTTTTAAACTTTAACTTGAAACCAAAGGGTCTGTGGATAAACATTTATATAAACATTTAACATATTTTTTGCATAGAACCACAATTACAAATTTAGTAACTTCTTGCATATTTTGTGATACATACTTTGGTGCTGGTACCAGACAAGTTATTCCAGTTCTGACCAAGGGTTTGGATAAATCTAAATAATGATAATCTACTTCCCATGTATATAGAGCACCTGCAAAATAAAAGTACATACAGGGTGGGCCATTAGAGTAGGAAAGTAAAATAATTCCCTTGTTATTCATAATACAGAAAAATTATATATTATGAGTAACAAAGGAGTTATTTTACTTTCTCACACTAATGGCCCACCCTGTATATATCTTAGACTGGATTCTACACATTAGTTCTCCTCTTCCGCACGTTGCATATTAACATTTTTTTTTTAATCGTTTTCACATATAAAGGGTGATGTATGAAAACGCGGAGATAAAAGTAATTTTTTTTTAATGGAATATCCCAAATATGTTTACATATTTCAATTCATCGTAAAATTCAGTATACAGGGTGTCCCAAAGTGGGGTACTAAATTTCGAAAAAAATTAATATCTCTGCAAAACTATACCGCAGAAGAACCAAATTTGGTACATGATTTAGGTCTTCTTTGACTATGATTTAAAGTTAATTGAAGCACTACAAGATGTTCACTGGGGATGACTCACCCCTAAAATTGTACCGAACTTTTTTTCATTGACCGAATTGAAAAATAATAATATTAATTCACAGCAGAACTTAATTTAAAAATTTTTTCACTCTTGTCAAATTTTAAAAAACATAGATTTCAAGGAAAACCGTATGAATTGACACAAGATTTCAACAGTGTTTATTAGAAAATATTCGAAAAGTCAGTAGTAGGCTTTATTTTTCAAATTTGACAATTGGCCAAATAAATTTTACTTCACTTCTCTCCTAATTCTATAAAAAGAAAACAGGTACCTAGGTAGTTTTCAAATAAGCGAATATTGTATTAAGTAAAAACCACAAATAAATAATAAAAATAATAATTGAAAGCATCGGGAAAGGATAGGGAAATGAGGCGGTGCTCCATCATGCATAAACCAAAGCTCCAGTCTAAGTTGCAACGGTAAATCTCCTATTAGATCAGGGAGGGTATTTTGTAGAAATTTCAAATAACTTTCGCCATGTAGTCGATTTGTCAAAATAACTGGTTCAATCAAATAACGATCAATAATACCGGCCCAAATATTTATCTTAAACTCGCGTCGAAAATGTTGAGAAGTTATTTCATAAGGATTTACATCGGAATATTCATGAAAGTTATAAACATTTGTAACTAATTCCTCGGCGAGTAAACCAAACCCCATCAGTAAAAAGAATTTTCTTGTGACAATTAATATCCTGATGCAAAACAAACTCACAAAACGTCATTCGTCTATCCAAATCTTGAGGCAACAACTCTTGCACTTTTTAGACACGATATGGATGCAGTAGATTACGTTTAAGAATTCGGTTTACAGAAGTTCTTGATAACCCAATCTGTCGAGATAAACGTCTAGTACTTACTTGGGGTTCATCCTCAATTGTTTACAAAATAATTTCTTCATCTTGTACCCCTATTACATTAGGACGTTCTCGTATGTTGCTGAAAAACTTTCCTGTCTCTCGAGCTCATCTTTCAACATTAGAAAATGTTTCTCTATGAGGAACTACACGATTAGGAAATCTCCTACGATATTATTCCACACTTCTTCTACAGTTTCCTTCGCAGAAATCCAGCACAAATAGCATATCAACTTGTCAGCTAAATGTCAATTTTTCAGCCATTTTCAACAACAATCAGAGGAAATTGTTGAAATAAAATAATTTTCTTACCAACTGACAAGTTTGAAAAATAAATTCATTGCTTACTACTGACTTTTTGTTTATTTTCTAATAAACACTGTTAAAATCTTGTGTCAGTTAATATGGTCTTTCTTGAAAACCATAAAGTAAAAAAAAAATTAAAATTAAATTCTGCTGTGAATTAATATTAGGTACCTACTATTTTTTAATTCGGCCAATAAAAAAAAGTTCTGAACAATTTTAGGGGTGAGTCATCCCCAATGAACACTTCGTAGTGCTTCAATTAACGTTAAATCATAGTAAAAAAAGACCGGTAATAATTCTAAATCATGTACCAAAATTGGTTCTTCTACGGTAAAGTGTTGCAGAAATATTAATTTTTTTCGAAACTTAGGGCCCCACTTCGGGGACTAATAACTCCTCAGGGGTGCAACTTTGTATATAAATAAGTTTGGTTAAACTATAATATTTTGGACGCCCCTACATGCACCTGCCCTGTGTCGGTTCTTATGCGAGACACCCTGTATAGTGATATAAATAGTTTTACATTTGGTTAAGGCATTGCCAAATTATTTAGAAATTTCTTTATATTTAGCAGAAAACATAGTATGTTAAAATATTGTAAGTATATAGTTTTCAAATAACCGATCGCTCCAAATTTGTAATAGGTTACATTTATTATTTTATACCTCCTGTATTTTACAACTTTACAAACCTCAGACCACATTTCCAATGTAACGTTTTCTTCCTTAACTTTATTAAAATATTTCTTATGTTATTATTTATTTTCACTAATTCTGAAGATATACAATTTTTATAAAAGTTATTATTATCTACTATATATGCTATATCTATGCATATGTATACAGGGTAGGATGGTCTATCTGAAGTTACGTGAGAGCGATAAAGTAAGCCATAGAAATCCATGCGATAGAGATATAAGATCCACTTCTTATTCGTGGAAGGGCGAAATGGGCGTTGACTATTAGACGCCTTCATTATAGCCTTCCTTGTCTATCACATGGATTCCTATGGCTTACTTTATCGCTCTCACGTAACTTCTGATAGACCATCGGTACTTTCCTACACTGTATATACATATGTATAGTCTATAACTTGGGAATTAAAAAACATTTTCTCGGATATGAATGACATTCGACTAGCTTTTACGAATAGGTTAATTATTAAAAATATTTTTTCTAATATTAAGGATGAAGTTCCTCTATTACATAAATCTAATGTTGTGTATAGTATTCCTTGTAAAGATTGTCAGAAAGTGTATATTGGGCAAACGGGTAGGAGGCTTAAAGACAGAATTGTTTCACACAACAGTGATATTAGACTCAATAAGAATTCTTGTATGTTGTCAAACTATACAAATAATTGTAAACATGATATTGATTTTAACGAAGTTAGTATAAAATTTTCAGAAAATAATGTTTTTAAAAGAAATTTCCTTGAGATGTGCAGCATCTTTCAATGTGAGAACAGTATGAATAGACGTTCTGACATGGATAACTTAAGGGCCCCATATTCTTTAAATAGTGTTTTCCGCAAAGACAAATAATTTCAAACATTTAATAACTGAGTAATCTAAAGCTTATCAAATAATAGAAATGTTATGTTATGCCACCTGAGTATTTTCAAAGACGCCGCAGTAAAACGAATAAACAGGTGCAAAAAAACGATCAAACCATCAAGGTCTTAGGTACTGAAATCTACGAAAATACTACCTTTTTTAGACATAACTCCACATGTAAATATTCTTATAACATTTACTTGCTTAGTCCTACATATGAAATTGTTTGCTTTTATTTATAAGTACGTGAAAATAATTCTTAAAATGTGGGGTTAGGATAACAGAAAACGCATGTTTTACAAATGCTTTTTTTTAGTTATTATTTTATTTGAGTAAATTTACATGGTAACAATGAATAAGCAAAACATCAAGGATTTTATTTTTGTGCTTACTTTTGTTCTACACGTTTTACTTTTCAAGATTTCAGTACCTAAAAATGCCAGAAATTTCACCATTTCTCGGCCAGGGATATGGCCACCTTAAGTATCATTTTCACGTATTTGTTAAGTATTAGTAGTAATAATTCATCCATTAATGACGTTAGTGAATTTAGCTTACAATAATTATTTTTCAAAATTTAGCGCCTAATTTACTGTTTCCTTCTTTTTCTAAATTCCATAGTTTATTTGTTCCATGGTTGTCTCGATTGTTTTTCTGTTGATTTTTGGTTATGATTCTTTGGTTCAATTATAGTTCCATGCCACCGCATGGCTGATCAAAGTTTTTAAGGTTAATAGATAGTATTAAAATGTATTTGTATAGTAACGTTTCAAAATTTTAAACAATTCTATTATGAATGTTTTAACAAAAGTTTCAATAGATGTTTTTAACAATATATTTTTATATATTTTACGATTATGATTAGTATTTTAAAAGGACTTGGTTCTAAACTTGGAAATTTTTTCGATTTAATCTCAATTTTGTAAGTTATATTGTTAGATTATTACTTGTTGTTGTTATCAATATATATTCCATTGTAGTTTCTCCTGAGGCAGGAATAATTTGTTCCGAAAGCTCGAGTAATAAAAAAAAGTACACTTCAAATTGGCTTTGACTGCATACCCGACTATACTTTAAGATTTTGTTCTTTAACGTAGACAGTCGTCTAACGTTTTCGCAACTTATGTGTATATATGTATGTATATTGTACTATAGAGGATGAATGAAAATTTAATATATTGAGAATGTCAAAATCGCAACTAAAGTGACAGAAATTCTTTTTTTTAAGTGTAACGTATAAAATAGAACGCATATGCAAGAAGAGTAAAATTTAAAAATATAAATGTCAAATAATAATAAAAGGAAAAATTATTTGCATAAAAACTTAAATTATTTATTAAATTGACAGACTGTTGCAACTCGTATTGTTTACACCATATTCGTGGGAGTCTTTTGGTACTGGTACAGGATCTTTTTGTATGTTGTCTGCTTGTAGTAAGAACTCAAAATTATTTTTCTATACCTGTCTGGTATATAGCTTGTCTACAATATTCGACGAATTGGTTGACACTGAAGCAGGTTGTCTACAATATTCGACGGATTGATTGATCTTTACAGTATCGTAAAAAAACACGTTCGGAACAGTAAAGAGGGCCACTCACTATACGAGCCCAGACCCGACTCCCAACCGAGACCCGACATATGACTCATCTATGGTTGTCAAAACATTACACGGACATAAAACGAATCGTGCCAAAGAGCTCATTCATATATTGAACGTGGTGGACCTTAGATACATATTATGTCTCCTGTATTATCTAAAAAGGCCAAAGTTGCTTTGGTTGTAGGTGCAATCATATTATGCGAAAATGAAAAGAAGAAAAAACGTGTTTGGGTAAAAGAGTGGTTGCAAAAGATGGAACATTTGCTTCATTCCTACAGGAAAGAGAATTGGTTCAGAACTGGACGGAGATTGCGCAGAATGAAATTAGCGTTCCAACAGATATAGAACTGATTTTAGTAGTAGTACTTACAGCATTTCAATAATGATCGAACTAATTCTGAACTGATTCAGAACCGGCGAAATTGGTACCTGGTCCTAAGCAGGAACTAGAAGAACTTTTCTTGGAGCATACGCATTGAATACACAAAATCATAGAGTTATAATATTTATAACCTCTATATTTCGTGTTTATAACTTATTTTAGTATGAGTGACTTAGATGATGATTTTCTGGCTTCCGAGTCGAGCGAAGAAGAGGATTTCGATATTCTTAGGCATTCAATTAATTTGACAGATAACATACATGTGATAGTTCTGTCGCGTCACCACTTTTAAAAAGTTCAAACGACAAAGGGCGAACGGCAGCTCTTATAGCGGAGGCAATGGGAAGTGGGTCAAATTTTTTTGATTACAACATATTGTGACGCACTTTTCTTCGGTTCTCTCTTTAGGGATCGTTCGGTGTAAATTTTTATTACTTTTAACTATGGTGTGTACACCCCCTGTAATTTAATTTTTCGGAAAGGTTTTATATTCCTCGGACTGGACTCTCAACGATGACGTTAGTTAATAATTTAAATATTCGGTTTTATTCTCGGGCGCCAGTTTCCCTAAATTTGACGTGGGGGAAACTCCACGTATCCCTTACCCTCGGTTTAGAGTAAAGTGCACAGGTAGCTACAGTGAAGAAAATTAATTCCAGGGGTCAATGAATTTCTTTTAGGAGAAAACGGCAGAGAGTTCGGCAGAGAGTAGTTTTCTCAGTGTAGTTTTATTTTAAATATGAAATTTAACGGGAGCTCTACAAAACGATATCAGCGTTTTTGCTGGTTCGGAATGTTATCGTTTTACCTCGACGGTGAAAGAAATAAACCTATTAAGTTTTACTAGATTTATTCACACAGGGAAAATATTAATACTTATTACAAATACATATAGTGTCAATTTTTATTCCTACCCACTACTAAACGACTGAAATTATTTACAAGTTTCTTAACAATAATTATATACAAATTCAGTGTGAAAGAGACAAAATTAAAAAGTTATGACTCTGGGTTTTTTACCATTTTACTTATCACCTTAGAAAAGAAATAAATATTTGCAAACGGGATCGAAATAAAATATTTATTACTCTACAATCGTAGACGGTTTTTATGTACAAAGGAAAAGGTGATTTTAAACGGTCTGATTAAAATATTTATAGACGTTTTTTACTGGTCCCCGCTGATTCTGAAAATAAACCAAAATTTATTCGGAATTATTTCGGACTTATTTTAAACAGGCGGGCGGTCAAATATCGGTATAATGGCCTAGCAAGCAATGCAAAATTAGTAAGCGGAATGCGGTAAGCGGTAAGCGATAGCAATAACCAGCGAAGAAAGCCCAAGCGGTGCAAGGCGGAAAGAAAGGATGGTGAAACGGGATCCGAAGTATCTCGCCTTACAATTCGTACTAGCCTTTAAGCTTTATACGTCCTGGTGGCCGATGGTGTCGGACTCTCTGTATACAACGCTTCTCGGTCTGATGGGTATACACGCCGACCAGGGAGAAGCGTACGGATACTATATGGAACGACCCGGAGATTGGGTGGGCACGCCGAACCTCTAGGTCTTGGTTCACATATCCCCTATTACCCAGCGTACATCAAGGTGCGGGACACCAAGCAACGCTGTAGTAAACACGACGGCTTCGTCAGGATTGGGTTTAACACGCCGAATCCAACGATTGCACTGTCGTGTGGGTTGAGACGGACGGTGGAATTTGTGTGTGGGTTACCAAGAATATTCTTCTCGGGCCCACAGTAATTCCACACTTAAAGTGTACAAATCTTTTCGGACTTGTACCCGGTTGGAACGGATAATAATAAGGAAAATAATTCTTACTAGGTTCACTGGTTATTCTGGGCTGGCTTCGGTGGAGAGTTCTTGCTGGCGGTGGACGTCTGTTCGGTGTTGAGTTCTGGATACGAACTGTCGGTTTCGGGGAATGTCGAGGACTTTTGTTGCCCAAATCCCCACCGGATTGACACCAGTCGTGGTGGGACCTCCACGTGACCAACGGCTTGTCAGAGTGGGGTATCGGCCGGTCGGACCCGCGAGTGGATATTTGATATATATGTAGAAAAATCAATAATTCTCGCCGCCGGGGTAAAACAATCCGAAATAAAAAGAAATATCTTTAAATCCAGACATAATAAAATTAAATATAAAACAGGTTCATTACAATATAAATTCTCCAGTTTGAGAAAAATGTTATAGGGGAGATAAAAGATGTTAAAAAGGGCGCCAACCTATAAATAAATTAAGCAAAAATAACCCCCTAACGATTTCCTCACCCTGTAGGTAGGGATTTGGAGTAAAATAAAAAAGCACAAATAAAATTCACCAATATATTTCTCATACGTGATGTCCAGGTGTTTTATGGGATGTTCTGCGGAATACGGGGTGTCTACAGGTGGTCTTGGTGTCTTGGACTCGAAGAACACATATCTGGAGACCAAAGGTCGACCTAATTCGCTGCCAGGTTACCATATTCAAGTTTGTCCAAACGCGGAACGCAAAATTGCAGTGACTTTATTAATCTTTAGCTACTTAATCTTCACTAATATGAACATTACATAAGTATTTAAGTGACTATAGAACGAATCTTCATAACATTTCGTCTTACTTTAACGAAACTTTAAAAACTTCAAAAACTTGAGACTTCTCAAAACTAAAACTTTTCTTAAAATTTTCAAATACCTAACCCTTTTTTTAAACTTTTCTTTCAACAACTAAAAACCTTTCTTTTAAACTTTAAAACTTACCATACCTAGGTCCATACTACAAATTATCTAGTCCACTAACCATGTGTCTATGGGTCGATGGTGATAGAAACAAATAAATAACCTACAACATTTGACACCCAAGTAACCTAATTGTTGTGCTTCAGATTTGTTTTACAAATAAACAATAATAAAAAGAAATACATAAAGTTTCTTCATGTTTAAATCTGGTAAATAGTAAACATTTATTGCATATAGTTCATTAAATCGGTGTTCTATAACTAATTGCAGAATGTAATAAAGATTTACATGATGTATCAACAATACAGCAGTATACAGGTGGAAATAAAACTAACTAGGTGTGATAACAAAGGTGAATTTTTATAAGAATATCTCAAGAAGCTGTTTAATTGTTGAGTTATTGTTAAAATAAATGGTGACATTCACACTGTACAGATAGTGAACACGATTTCCAGGACTGGTTGATAATCAGTACTTATAGAGCGCATGCGTACACAATAATTCATTACTGATTCTGAACCAATTCTGAATTTCTTGTTGGATCGAACCTATTTACGTTTATTGAATTGCATCCAATCATGTGAGCCACTTGACGTTATAAATTACCTCAGATATCTAATGCATAATTTCAGTGTAGAATATCAGTACTTCACAATAAATTTAACCAATGAAACATATGCAAAACTTGATAAGGATGTGATATAAAATTAATAAATTTTTATATAGAAATAAAAAAAAGATGGATATTGTCAATAGTATCAGAAAAAAATAGTTAAGATTTTCTGATCATCCTGTACATGTAGGATGAAAGTTCTCCATTCCAACCGCATTTTAAAGATAAGCCAAAGTTTAAATCAAGAATATCTTTTTCTCGTAAAATGAAATATAAAAATATGTTCCCTCTTTTCCACTCTAACCGTGGACATACTGTATATAAACAAATAACATACATGGTGTTTCGCATAAGAACCGATACAGGGCAGGGGCATGTAGAGGAACCCAAAATAGGGTGATTTAACGCCACTTACCGGTATACTAAGGTGCACCCCTGAGAAGTTATAGGTCTTGAAAGCAGTCTTTCAAATTTCGAAAAAAAATCAATATCTCGGTTATATTTGCATAATTTGTATATCATTGTACTTGTAATTTAAAAGTGCCCGGAAATTAAAATCTTGGGACACTTTCAACATTTCCCATAAACTGTTATATTATGTTTATCGAGTTGTTTATTGTAAGTACGTTTATAATTCATAATTAATTCTAGATAAATAAATAATTGTTTATATTATATGTAAAATACCGAAAACTCGAGGGAAAAGGCAACAATAGTAAGAGTCAATTTTTTTTTATCAAAATTGAGCTAGAACCCATGTAGATAATTATAAATTAGAAATCTTAACGAAAAAACAATTATTTTAAATAATACTTAGGAATGTGTATTCGGTTGTAAATAGTTAGTTGTCCAAATTTCATTTAATTCCCTCAACTCTATATTTATGGAAAAAAACATATTTTATTTTAAAACTGACATCTTGTAGCTAAGGAACGAAACGAAATCGGACCCATGTTGATGTGAAAAAATAATCTTGTTTTTAGGTTAGGAATCTGCCTGTGAGCGTAGGCCCATGTTTTCTGAAACATCCTATACACATACATACAAATACATACATACATACATACACCTACAAGCTACAAATCATATATCTGCTTCATGGAATCAGCTTTACAGTTTTTGGTACAAGTTTCGGCACGTAATAATTGTACAATAATATATCGACCGTTATTAACTTACCAAATCCTATGTCCGCTTTGTCCAAAACTAAATTACCCAGAAGTCCATTTCCTGACCAGTTTGTAAATATCTCGCCCCAATAATCCTCTTTATTAATAACTGGTACTGGAGTCATATTATACTGTCTCGCAAAAGTAAGGGCCACTGACATTTCGGATCCTTTATGTGTATCTTCTGTTGACCCTAATTAAAATATTTTATTATAATTTTCAAGAGAAAAAATGTTATTCCCAGAAAACATTTCCCAAAAATAATGATCTACATTTGAAATGTGAAATATTCCATTCTGTTATATTTAAAGCGGGAACAGCCAAATGGAATAAATTCAATCTCAATTATTGTGCAGATTTATAAAAAATTCTGAAACACCTCGAATTTGGATTCAGAAGTGCAACGTAAAAATTTCGTCCCTAAATTCAACCCCCTTTGAGGTGTAGTTGCAAATCCTAAATTTTTAAATGGGGTCTTGTAATATCTCATTTGAAAGATCTTTTCATTCTCTATTAAAAAATGCTATGGTTCTCATATTTATTGCAAAAATTATAGCGGTAAAAATAAAAAAATAAGTCATCTGCATGACGAAATTCGCTACAACAAACTAAGAAAAAACTTAATTTCAACATAGGAGATGTTAAAAATGAGTTCTTTGAACGTCTTCGCAGCATCCTAATCGTAAATGTCTTCTAACATATTTCAACATCTGAGGTGTGACCTACCTAACCGCAACCGTTATTTTACTTCTCATGTCAGCTATATCGCTTGGCTTTGTTTTAGTATACCATACTTTTCACATATTCCCATAGAAAGAAATCTAAGGATGTAAAATCAGGAGAACGTGCTGGCTATCTAGCGCTTCTCCCCTTCCTATCCTATCCACCGATTTGTAAATGTTAAATCGAGCTATTGCTAGACATTAATTCAGTACTGTGGTGGTGCTCCATCCTGCTGGAACCATATCATATCGGCTGGAACTTGGTTTGTTTGAGCAGGATATAAGTTTGTCAAAGTTGACATGACATTATTTTGGAGCAGAAGTAAATAATTATCTCCATTCAAATTGCCATCAATGCAAAAGGGGCCCATGACATGGTCTCTAATTATCCCCGTCTAAACATTAATGTCTTCAGGATTTTGCGTATGTAATTCTCTCATACAGTGAGAATTTTCATTAGCCCAGTTGCGACAGTTTTTACGGTTAGCATAGCCGTAAGAGTAAAAGTGGACTCGACAGAAAACACAGAAGATTGTGAAAGTCTACCGCCGGTGCTCCAGAGAGTTACGCTACGTGGCGCGGTTCAGCTCGATGCGCTACAGGCAGAGCGACAAATCAATGCGATCCGGTCGCCAATCGCGCCATTCAACGACATGGCGTGCACTTACAAGAGGCTCGAATACTAGAGCAGCATTGTTAGACGATAGGCAATGTGATTTCCTAGCGAATCACATAGTAGACACATGGACACCCAGTACTACTATAGACAGTGTCAGTAATGACGGAGCCCATTACGAGGGTGATGGGAACCATCACCCTACCATTACCTTAATCTATAAATCTAGCATTTGGATTCGGAGTGGCCAATCGCGAAACCCAACAAACAAATCCAAGACAGTGCACAGCTCAAGTGCCACTTGCTCATATTGTCGTTTCAAGATCTTAATGGGACGTTGAATAAGTTCTAGCTGTTTTCCAACAAATGAAGTTACTGAGTGAGTTAATGAACTGCAAGCATGTAGTTTAAGATGGTAACGCATTTATAAAGTACTATAAACAAGCTTGAAATTCAGTGTTTGTTATTTCGCCGAAGTATAAACTACTTTTTATTTCATAGTATATGTCGAATTTCGAAAAAAGATTATTTCCAGAGAATTTTACTGCACTACTTTATTCAAAAGAAATCTGCACACAGAATTCTTGTTGAGACTTACGGCGACCATACTCTGTAGTAAACAACATGAAAAGATTGGTTTAGATGCTTTAAAAATAATGATTTTGATGTTGAACATAAGGAACTCTATGGCGTACCGAAACAGTTTGCAGATGAAGATTTGGAAGCATTACTTCATTAAGACTCATGTCAGGCGCTAAGTGAACTTGCAGAATGAGTAGGAGTTGAATCACACAACAGTTTCGAAACGTTTGAAAGCATTTAGAATGATTCAAATGCAAGGACATTGGGTGCCGTAATAGTTGAAGCCAAGAGACGTCGAACGACACATGTGAACATATGCTTCAACGGCAGAAAAGGAAAGGTTTTTTGCATCTTATCGTAACCGGCGATGAAAAATGGATAACTACGATAATCCTAAGCGTAGAAAATCGTGAGGCAAGCTCGGCCATGCACCAATATCGTCGGCATAGTCGAATATCCATGGTCCAACCATCTGCTCTGCATTTGGTGAGATCAGCTGGGTGTAGTATAGTCGATGTCGATCAACAAAAAAAAGTATTGAAACTGAATTTTGAATCTTAACTACAAAGGATTCTCAAAGCAACCGCGTAATATTCAGAGCAACAGCAAAATTTTACATATATCTGGTGGATAGAAATGTACAGGCGACATAAAATCAATGGATTGATTCGATATCGATATCGTACGATATTCGATATCGTACAATAAGTGTTCGATTTGTTACTCATTTTGGATCTGCTTCCATGTAAATAATATCTTTAAGGTTCGGTAGTCATGTGAACAGTATTTATATTTCATTTCCGTTTATTAATCACGTCATAATAGATAACGTTCATCAATATTATACTTGGCTTTTAATCAAAAAAATCTTTTGTGTAAAAAATAAAAATATCCACACCTCAGAATTTATTTAAACTTTAAGAAACCATGAAACTTTACCTTGTAATGAACCACTTCTCATTTACCTTGATCCTTCGTAGTCACTTTTGTTGCAACTGATGCTTCAAATTACGGAATAGGTAATGTACTTTCACAAAATGGCTGCCCTGTAAGTTATATGGCCAGAATACTACACCCGACAGACTGTAGCTATTTACCATTGAAATAGTACTGTTAACCATAATTTGAGCTATCCACATTATCTTTATGGGAACGAATTTATTATATCTATTGACCACAAACCACTTTAGTGTTAATTTTTCTAAAAAATTCAATTCATGTCTTGTGCGATGGAGATTAATACTTCAGTATAAAAAAGGAAAATCTAATTGTAATGAAAACGTTTATATTATTTTAAATTAGAAAAAATTGTCGCCATCAGAAGGACATCATAGCTAACCCAGGAGAGGTAGAAATATTATTATTAACTTAAATTTTGATCCTATTGCCGCATCTAATCAAGACGAACTATAGCATATCCGACATAAATACTACTCACTCAGCTAACAAAAATTCTACTTTAACAACACAAATTTTTTCTTTTAAATATCATACCAAATTACTATTATAGAAAGTAATAATCTGTACTGATGTTGCTGTTGAGCACCATAATTTTTTTTATTAAATTAAAACCAATATAACATTTAGCTATCATGAAGAAAAAACATTTCATAAGAAGCATTCGCCAAGTACGAATGTCCTCGACTAAAAGAAGTTATTGGACGCAATTAATTCATACATACAATAAGCCAACTAAGCTCAGGCAATGATATGAAACTCCTACAACGGTAATGGTGGGTACCACCCTACCCTCCCTCGCGTATGGAAATTCAAAAAATTTTGTAATCGTTAAATAGACCAAACTCAAGTATAAAACATTTGATGCTGTGTTTAGACGATTAAAGCTCGTATTTTGCAGGAAAATATTTTTTATCAGTCAAAAATGGGTCCAAACGATAGTTTATTGTGTATACAAAGCAAAAAACATAGTCAGTTGGCGGTTCATGGGTAAAAGAGTAGTCAGTTAATGCAAAAAACATATCCTTCGATGGGCGCGCTGCCGCAGGGGGTTTGATTGCCTCAGCTGATGATCTTATTACCAACGATTGGCCAGCTGACTATTTTTATGGCCCTGTATGCACTATAAGTTGCAATATATTTCAATTTCAGTACATAAAAAATAATTTTCAATTATTTTTTCATCTCACCTGTTCCGACGGTCAGCTGACGTACTAATTACCATCAATGAGCCAGCTGACTAGCTTTAATCGACTAAACACAGCATCAAATGTCTTATACTTGAGTTTGGTCCATTTAACGATTATACAATTTTTTGAATTTCCATATGCGAGGGAGGGTAGGGTGGTATCCACCACGTTCTAGGAGTTTCATATTATTGCTTAGTTGGGGTAAAAACTATCATGTAAACTCAAATTTTTTATCTAGAAAATAACTCAACGAATTCTGCAGCTGGCTCCCGGACTATAACAGTAATACGAAAGGTAGCCAAGTCCGACAGACAAAAACCTGACATTTCTCTCGGGCTCAGCGTTACCTGTGCCTAACTGCACAGTGCACTCATGTGGATGCCTCACTGTTTATAAGACGGAATCTGAATTTATGTATTTGCAATTGCGAGCATATTTAGTATTTCACTATCGTTATTGTTATAGTCATCATCATCATCCTCGTCGTCGTCGTCGTCGTCGCTGTCGTCGTCGTCGTGATCGTGGTGGTGGTCCCGGTCGTCGTCGTAATCATCAAGCAAAATAATTTCATACCTATAATGCTATATGGTTCGTAATGAAAAGTTGCCATTCTTAATTCTCTTCCCATTTGGTTTAATAGTTTATTTGGAAATAAATTGTTATTAAATTTAAACTTCTTGAGATTAGAAGACCAAAAGTCTAGAATAATTCTCCTATTATTGTTTTTCAATCCAACATATCCATGAGTCGAAACAATGTACGTAATATGTTTTTGATCCATAATATACTGTTTGCCTGTAGTTTTCTTTCTTTTTCGTTTATATTCTTCTATAATCACCATGTTGGAAATATGGGTAAGTTCTTTGATATTAAAAATATCTGTGAGGTTTTCTTTAGGATTATTTCCAGATAATATTAAGTATCTTCTAGTATTGAATCTTTCAGAGGATAATCTAATTAATTTTTCAAATATTTCAAACGTCCAGATGGGTAGGTTATTCGATATGATTATTCCTTGGCAGCCAAAATAACGAAAAATTAAATCTTTGTGAATATTCATATTTTGCACATTAATTTGCAGAATAGGAATGGGACCAGTGTAGTCTAAGCTGTTGAACTTTTCGGAAAAATATATTATACAACGAGAATTTAAGAAATATTTTTGAATTATTACACTTACTAATAAGTTAAGGTGTAAATTCATTTTGTACTTAACTGTCGATACTAGAAACGTGATGTTTGTAACATGTATATTTTTTCGATTATCCTTTACCTTTAAGTATTATCGTTGCCGCTTTGCATAATTTATTAAGTCCGTTATTACTGTAATGTATTTGTCAACATGTTGTAGCATTAAATATTCTTGAAATGTTATTTGTATGAATACAGTGGGATGCCTTCAAAATATCATAACAGTCCTTTATTCCAGTGCTTCATTTACATAATTTACATAAATTCCTAGAGTTATACAGTATTATACAGTATGTCCGCGGATTGAGTTTACAAGAGGACAAATGGACCAAAAAGTGGAAGATACGAAAAAAAGACATTCTTAATAAAAGTTTTTGTTTGTTTAGAAAATATAAATTACCATGACGATGATGAATTTTGTTGTACAGGGTCAAAAACACAAAAATGTTATTTTGCGTAAGAGTAAATATACCTTATTTTGCAAGATACGAAAAAAGGCATTCTTGATAAAAGTTTTAAATTAAGGCAAAAGAAGTAAACAAAGCAATATAATGAAGATTTCAAATTTCAAAAACGCCACCCCCATGCTGAACACATTTTTCTAATTGCTTCCTTAAATATCTGAAGGAATTTCTGATTTCTTCCTGGGATATTCAACGGACAGCCTGGGTAATTCTGCCTTTTAGCATTTCAATATTATTTGGTATTGGAGTAGCATAACAATTTATTTTAAACTGCCCCATAGAAACATATCGGCCATGGATTAATCAGGACTCCTTGGGACCACAAAATTGGACCATTTCTACCAATCCATGTTGGACCAAATCTATGGTTAAGCCGCTCTGTTACCTCACGAGCACAATATGCTGGACAACCATCCAGTTGAAAATACATTTTTTGGCGAAAATTTAATGGCAAATTTTCGAGTTCATCGACAAAAAATGTATCAAGTATTTCTAGGTACTCTGATGCTAGAGAATACTTTATTAAATTTTTGATAAGGTGACATTCGTTCTTTAGAAATTAATTTTCAATGTTTAAAGAATTAACACGTGGGATATAGGGATTCGTTATATTTCTCATAAATCATGTCACCCTTCCAACAGCAGTAATTGCTTTCAATTGCTTGTTGGATAAGATTTAGTCAAAATCATTCGAATTAGATTTTAAAGAAGATAGAGACAACATAGATGAAACAGTAATATTAGCTTTTCAAAAGGGACGTGATAAATTGCTAAAACATTATAATAAATGTAATTGGGTGTATTGCGTGTCCCTTATTTTGGATCTCCGTGTTAAGGCTGCTGGATTGGATTTTACCAGGTGGGGTCAAGAGATGAAGGATGACACTTTGAAAAAATTTAAATCTTTATACAAAATTTATTACGATAAATATGCTACAAATATTTCGGAAGAGTCTTCACAAAAAAAGCAAAAGCGCGATGAAGATAATGATGAAATGGATTTAATATACTGTAACCTGAGGGGTTATTTCTTTATTTATCTATCATTCGTTATGACCAGTGTCATAACGAGTCTGAATTTCACAAGAGTTTACTATTTAATTCTCGAAAGGGAGTTTATTATCATTATACTTTAATCAATACGTGGGAACTTAGGAATGTTGTATGTTCAGAGAATGAGTTTCAAGCACTTACCCTTTATTGCTTACGTAGAATCTAATCCAGTGGCTGGCTATACAGGGTGACACTGAGGTTGGAAGAAACAAAAAGAAACACCAAAACTTCCAGGATGGGTTTTAATAACAATAAACAAAGCAAACAAACAAAATGACAACACAACGGCTCGAACAACATTATTAAATAATTGATTTCCACGCGACAGCGTACCGAGATTCAGGGAATGCGCGCTTCATACAAAATTTGGAAAAACTTTATCTATTACTAAATTTAATTAACTAGCCCGAGACTCTAATCTGAAACTAGGTCGACTGCTCAATGTGAAATCTAAGAAAGAACTGACTTTTTCGAGATCCTTTCCACACTTCGCTTCCCCACGCCCATTTCTTGGGTCCAGAAGTTTCGGTTCTTATCCTATTGGCGGGGACCTGAATATCGAGACGCTTGGATAACTATACTATGTTAATAATTACCTAATTGACTTACATTTATATAAGAATTCTGAAACTAAACTTACTTACAAGTAACCCTAGCCTTCCTTTAGTGACTCCGTGTAGCAAATACGGGGTGGATTAGTCAATGTG